AAACTGACTGTGGTGGCAACAACAAAAACCGATTGAGACTGTCCATATAGTTGCTATCGAAATAAAAGAACAACATTATCGGTAGTTAACAAAAACATTTGATCTTGAGCATACTCGTGACAAATTTAGTGTGGATAACTTTGCGTTTCGCTCAATTAATATGGACACTTGGCTTTCACCGAAACTATCCGCTTTTGCCCACACTAGAACAGCAGGATACTCACCTAACAGTCTAAGCGGTGAATTTGAAGCTTTGAAAAGTTACTGTTGAAAAACTTATTACAGCAATAAAAAAGAACTTCAATACATATGGGGAATGAAGACTCCGTGTGTTTAACACACCATATATTTTCTGCATACACAAATATCTCGATTGTAAGGGTGGCGAAAATCCCATGAGATTACAAAAAAAAAAACCTGGTTTAGAGCTTGTCAAGCACCGTCACTCATCGTAAAAGACGCCCGGAGAAATTTTTGCGCTCAATTCATGTTTTTAAAGGAAGCCGCATAATATATTTAGTATTAGCGGGTGACAAATACTTCGCTCCATCATGACGAACGTTTGTAAGTGAAGATGGGTAGAGCAATGCGCAAATAACGTACCGGTAAATGCCCTTCTGAAACTACGTATAATCTTCCGATACATATATATATTTGTAGCACACCTTTATGCTAAAACAACATGACAGTTTTGATCTTCTCAGCATATGCTTACCACATCGATTTCAAAAATCCGACTTGGAATTCACTGGCGAAGGTGTAGCAGAGTGAACATCTGAAAAAAGTGCATGAACTGATAACCCATTCGTGCATTTTTGTGCCTAAATCAGGCCCGCTGCGGTGGCATAGCAGTTGCGGAACTCGGCTGCTGAAGTCACATTTCAATTTCGCTGGAGGCGAAATCGTAGACACCCGTGTAATGTGCGGTGTAAGTGCGCGGTAAACGATGCCAGACGGTCGAGATTTCTGGAATCGTCCACTACGGCATCCTTCATAATCATATCGCGGTTTTGGGACTTACCCCAGATATTATTGAAAGGTCGTCATACGGTATGACAATCCAGACGTGACGTTTTCTTCACAAAAATCTGTTCATTTCAATTTATTACCTGTCCTATTCATTGCTTGAGTTTCTAAGGTGAGTACACGAATATGAGATGCCCCAGCGAACTTTGTACATAGCTATTTAACTATGTCCTCATTTTCACTAATTATAGTTTATCGACAAAACTCACAAGTGTGCCATAGTTGAATAGTTATATAAACCCTGCAAGTTACATGACAACAAAAAAGGCATAAGAATGAACAATAATGATCAAAATAATTTTGCTTACCTTCCATCCGTCTCTTACTGTTGAATATACGTTAGTTCGAGCGCTATTCTGGCCGCTTAGCACAATGCTGAAAAAGAGGCAGTTAAGAAAGAAGTGTTGTAAATACATATTATCGCACTCATACATTCACATAAGCACGGCATCAGCAACTAGCCTACGGTTTTTTAAGAACAAAAGGTGATGCCTTGTGGTAAGCCCTAACAGCAGCTGCTGTTCCTACAATGAAATTCAGTTCGGTGCAGCTGTTTTTCTTTGTGTAAGCGTGGGAAGTGGATACACAAAACGTTACTGTTTTGTGGCTACAACTACCTTTTTTTTGTCAAGAGCAGAGTCCTAAGTTTTAAAGAAGAAAACGTGCTGCTTCGACCAACACTGATTTACAAGAGAACGAATAGTTGTTGCGTTGTAAGTATTTAAATATGAACTTGTTTTGAATCAAAATGAATGTTCAAGTCAGTGCTGTGGTGTATCATTTAGAGTCAGGATTGCAGTTATGTTAATACGCTAAGTGGGGTTTTTACCCCCACCGCTATGTCCCGTAGATGTATATGTAGGGCACGCGTATTGTCACGTGCGTCCTGCAAGAAAGACGAAGGCAACAGTGCATACGCGCATCTTCACGCTTTTATGCAGAACGCAACAACGAGAAAGACGAGGAACTCACTGGTGCACGGTAAGTAAAAAGACCGACCCGCTGCTTCTTTCTCAGCTTCTTCGAATGCGACCTCTGTCTTCACGTCGCGACAATATCAGTCAGAAGAAAACAATTTCAAGCACCCGGCTGGTTCCAACCACTCTGCAACGCGCCGTGCCCCCACCGGAATGATGGCGGAATATTTGTGTACGCTATTCACCGCTATCGGTAGGAAGATTTTGAAAGAGCTTCAGCGTGCTCTCATTCCCGTAATGCTCGTACCTTTTGTACCAGTTTGAAAAGTACCCTTCAGACACACACAAGAAAGCGGTTTCTTTGTGTACCAACTCGCGATGTAGAAAAACGTAATGAAGGAGAAACAGGGCACATCATGCACCAGACGCCACCACGTGGCAGCTGACACAGAGGGGTCACTTCACGCGCCGCAGTTTAAAAATATCAGAGGCTCAGCAGCTGCCCTCTCCCCCCTTGCAGCACGCTGCTCTTCACAACTATTACAGTCGTTTGTTGGTGCTTGTCCTGCGTATATAGCTTTGTTCCTTTAGAACGTTGTTCTTTGTGCTTTTGTGTTAAGCTGAAAAATTTCAGTGAGAGAGATTAAACATTTCTTAAAGAGAGAGAGGGGAAAAAATTTCAGGCCAAGGCATGACCCCACCATAAATGGACGGCATGCCTATAGTCCGGGACACCAAATTATAAGGCCTAATCTCGCGCACGTCTCAACAGAGTCTGTTGAGACCACACCTTGGAGCAGTCGAGGATGGCAGTATTACCATGCATGCCTCTTGCCCAAGGTAGAAGAAGAGAAGCACTGAGAATTTTTCGTGCACGTCTACATCAAGTGGAAGATGTCACAGGTCTCCCACCAGTGTGGCAGCACTTTCTAATGTTTGGAGCGTAAAGTGGTATAATTTCAGGACAAAGTAGTGAACTTGTCTGCTGGTGTCTTAAAGATCACTGCTCCGTGCTACTCAATGTCGTTGCAGGAGTCAGGAAAGTTCGGTGAGTTTTGCGAGAATAAAAAAAATTTCGCTGAACCACGACAGCGATATTTTGACCTCCAAGTCATAAGAGCTGGGCTCACAAGCTTGGTGGCTAAGTGCTCGGGTGGCCGCATTATGTTGTAAACCTCTATGACCAGGAGCCCAAATTAACCGCTTCATTGTTGGATCAGTGGCAGCTCGTTTTATGAACTGCTTATCATTTTTCATGAGATATTCCATTGCGCTTTGTTAATAAAGATCGAGAGCTGAACTCATCTGGCACTATTGGGGTGGTGAACTTGCGAACTGTTGCGAATTGGTGCCAGTTCCGAAGACTTCTGTATAGTATTGTTTACCTGCACAGGAGAGCATAATAAATATTGACAGAACTCCGGTGTTTATGCTGAAGCAATTGGACCTATTTGTAAATAGTAGAATGTGGAGTCATAAGTGATCTAGAATAACTGCCCTAATGAGAGAAGAGAAAGAAAATAAATTTAGAGAAAGGCGGGGAGGTGAGTCAGAATTGCAGCCTCCTTTTCGCTACCCTGCAATAAGAGGAGGCTGAAAGAGGAAGAAAGATGAGAAGGAAAGCGGTGCGTAGCAGTGGCCATTGAATAGGTGGCTCATGGGAAAGGCATTCGTTCAGCACCAGGCTCAGTCTGAATAATGCTTATTATAAGCAGCAAAATTTTTCACGTCCTCACATAGGTATATAGAAGCGAATAGCTTCGCCATTGCAGGATGTTAGAAAACATATACTCGTCACTGCACGAACACTACAAACTGGAGCGACGGGTGTACACTGCACCCCATCAAAATCAACCGAATAAGAAAGCGGGATTTTCGCACGCCTGCAAAGCAATACGTAATAATTCAACGCCTCCGCCCGACGACACGTGGCTACATGTGCTCACTCTGCAGTGTACCAATACCCTGGCACACTGGCTCCTGGATTGCCAGTGCCATGCAAACCATGACATGAAACCGGAGCGGGAACAAACACCAAGAATGAACGACGTCCACCTAGTTGAAACGTGGGAGGACAAGCTCGTCCTCGAGGACCTGGACGACTTGCGACAACTTGACACCAGGGCCAAGAGGGCATCGAAGCCGAAGTCTAGAAACCCTCCCTAGTGCCTCCCAGGAAAAACCCTCCCAGGAAATTCTTTAGTCCAGAAACCCTCCCACGTTAGGGTGACACTGCGCATCGCTCCGAACACTGTTTCGAAAAAAAAAAACGTTTATTTCTCTCTCTCCTCAAATGGCGAGGCTGAAGTGCAGGTACGATTAAAACAAATGTGTTTATTAAGGCGAATCTGTTACCACAACTCAAAGTGAATGTGGTCGTAGAACTATACGAGTGAGTCGATCACCAAAGAGGCCGGTCATTTGTATTCTTCCTCTCCGCAAGAAGTGCGAGCGCGTGGCGCAAGCGAGCTGGGTCCAGCACGGTGCTCGTGCTCCGGTGCTCTGGGTAGTACTACAATGCGACACCCATGCGTGCGCTGTACTATTATGACACATTATTTGAATGCAAACATTATGTCGTGGCGATATCAGCTCCACCGCTATACTTGACGTCTTAAATGTGTGATGTTATTAGTTTGCTCTCGTTCATGTGACATTACGCGAACTTACATAAAAGGAGCAAAATCTGACCAGTATGGCATCCACTTCCAACGAACGATAGGTGATGAGTAGTTGAGCTCCACGCTAAGGTTCTGAACTTTCTTTTGAAGAAGCCGTGTGGTGGTACTTTGAATTCCACCACTCTATGCAGGGAAGAGCACTATAGAATATGGCGAAACAAATGAACGCTAATCACTCTGCCAGAACATGAATATATACAGGCGGAAACACTACAAGATAGTGTGAAGTGATGAAAGCGCTCCACATAAGAACTCTCTAACGGATCCAAATGCGTACCCTTCTGCTACACCTAGCGAGGTATTGCCGCAGCTGTTTTATTTCTCTTGTCTTTGAAAAAAAAGAAGACGTAAAACATGCTACGCTTGACGGCGCGGGTCACTCAATGCCGTGAGAGTTCTTCTCATGCCTCCTGGCACTCACGCGCTGGGTGAACCCGTCGCCGCAGACGCGACACGCGTACGGCCTCTCCCCGGTGTGCGAGAGCATGTGGCGCTGCATCACGTCCTTCCTGGCGAAGCCCGCCCAGCACTCGGGGCACACGAACCACTCCGAGTCCTCCAGGTGGACCCGGCGGTGGCGCGACAGGTGTGACGAGTTCGAGAAGCGGCGGCCGCAGTCGGTGCACTCGTAGCCCGTCCGGGCGTGGATGCGGACGTGCGAGGTGCGAGCGTTCTTCCGCTCGAAGCTCCGGTTGCACACGTCGCAGATGAAGGGCGGCTTCTCCCGCTTGCCGTCCTCACTGAAGGCGCAAATGCGACGCAAAGGGAAGTTTAGCTTGACGAAAAGAGTCAAAATTAAATACAGTCGAACATCTACCAGCACTACGCCCTGGAACTTCCACGCGTGAGAGAAGTGCCAGAAAACATGTTTTAGTGAGTGAAAGTATCGAGATTTGGAAAACAAGATTATGCTAAGCACCATGGCTTTGTGTTTTCCACCAAGATGTGAGGTTATCGGCTATCTAGAAGTTTCCAATCATGAATGAGCATTTAGCGACGAACCACAAAGCGTGTTTTCCAGCTTTTTCACACCCCCCCCCTCCACACCCTTTTTTGCATTTATACTATCCAGTATTGGTGAAACTGGCATTATAATTTAAAGCTAAGCTACGCAATATGAACGCTCCGTGCTTCACATCTACAAGGTAAATAAACTTGACCAGCAGTTTAAATTGTTGTATTGTAATTGAAACTTAGCAATCACAAAATGACTGGAGAAAAGAAATAAAATAGCGTTACTAGCAACTTTCTTTTAAAAACGTTTGTTATATGTATTAGCATTGCAATCATGGGCGAAGCACATTGCCGAATACGCGTGAAAAATAAGCTATATAAGAAGAGCGAAAAGAAACCGAACAACTTCTGGAAATGTGCACTGAAATTTTTATTAGCTTAATATTTCGCGTTTATACGGAATCTGTAGCTAGACAGTGCTTCCTGTATGAGAAATTCTGCAGGAAGGCTTAGGCAACAGCGCTGTGACAAACATTTTTTTCCGTAAGATATATTTTTTTTCTTGACTGCGATATTAAATTACACAACCATGCATGGCAAGATGAAGAACGGGAGACGTTCTCTTCACATAGATGGCATTAGTTCAAAACAAATGCAGGCTAATGGCCCCATGATAAAATGGACTAAGCGAAGCTATTGAGCCGGTTGCGCTGGCACGGCTTCTGATGAAAACCTGGAAAGTTCTTCGGAGTAGTGAAACGCCGATGCCATAGCAATAACTGAACCAAAACCCTTCTTTTTTCGCTCGCTTGATGAACGCGGGAAGTTTAGAGCCACCCAACTCTGCGAAAAAGCAAAAGGTAGTTACAAGATGAAAGCATGTTTGCTTACTATAGTAAAGAAATGCGTGTATTGTCTGTATTTGCATTATCGCTCTTGTTTAATCCCTCAATGCTGCCCTGTGAATCTATTGTTGCATATTGTACTGGACTGGCCACCAGTCACTTCAGGTTGTTGGTCGAAACAGTTTTTGTTGTTTATGAACATTATCATGAAAGTACAAAGTCCATTGTTTTAATTGATTGATTGATTGAGCTGCGGTGTAAAATCCTATAAAAGCAACGCGTCTAAGAAGCTAGCTAAAATCATTGTTATTGGTCCCAGCTCAAAGTTCATTTATCGCTTCGATCTTTCCTGTGACAGCCCCGAAGCCTTCTTGTATTGAGACCAAGGATAAAGATGATTCCATTTACAGCCGAACTCACGTATTACGATACCACTTTTCAAAATATATCGTTCATAACAACAACAAGAACGCTGCACCCCAAACGTTTGTATTTTTCTAGGTTCCAATAACCCCCTTACAGCAGGGCCTGGAAGCCACCTTATCGGTTATAACAGTTATTTTGGCTCTTCGGAACCCATTCAAAAAACAATGTAGGGCAAGATCTTTGAAAAGAAACAAGAAAGCAAGAAATCTAAGCTGCTCAACACCTGAATGCTACCTCAACCAAACACAGTGCCCTTTGGGAATTGCTGTATGCTGCAGCGCATAGCCTCTGACATTATGGCAAAGCTGACTTTTAAAAAGCGCTTCTAAGTAGCACGAAATTTTGACAAAATGTTGACGCAACATTTAAAGGTTGCGTCAACGTTGTGCCAACATAGCGTGCTACCCACGACGTGAGAGCAAAGGTGGTATAGGTTAAAGCACATAGTTTGACTAAAAATTTGAAACTGTGAATAAATTCAATGTCCAAAACGTCAAGCATTCTCACACGTTCGTTGTATAGGACTTGTGGCAGTCTCTTTAAAGTATCCAAATATTCAAACTAATACAAAAAATTTGCAGGTAATCGCTGTCGTCCCCGTAGTCAGTGGTTATATCTCATCCGATATTACAATTTCTTCCCATCATCCTTCCATCCACTCATTTCACTTTTTTTTGGTGTAACAAATATATAGTAATTATCAGTTTTACCGATGAAACTTTCATGGAACTTGAGTAAGGCCCATGGCCAGGTATTTTTTTTGTGTAGGTCATACTTTGAATATTTTTACCACTTAGTAATAAAATTTCCTATACGTTAGAGGCAAACACACCCCTCTCTGATGATATGGAGAGGACCGGGCTCATAGGGCGATCCTCTGGCTACGGGCCTGACATGAGTAATGTAATCAGTTGCTTCAGCTTTATTAAATCTGGTGTAATGATGTTCATACGCAGAGTCGTTAAAATTGTGATACTTTTTGTTTGCAAGAATTTTATTACATCTAAACTTAACGGTACGTTAAACTACATGTCGTGCGAAGCGTAGCTGACCCTCCGCTCAGAATGGATGTGCTAATATTTCACTATAGGTTAATTACGCCATAACGCAAGGTACCCATAACGCGGAACACCGAATATCCGCACTATTGCGCTTCGTTCAATCACAATTTAAGACAAAAATGTTTTCATTTATTGGTTTTTAGGGAGAAAATATTGTATTACGGAATCTAACTTGAGCTGTTGCAACAAATTTTCCCACAAGAAAAGTACAGTGTACAAGAGATTTATGCTTGAAGAGTAGAGTGAATTGAACTTCTGCATTGCCAACTATGTGTTCGTATGGTTTACTCTGACCCAACCAGGTGGAACCACCTACTGGGCTATCGTTCACGGCTTCGATATTCGCATTAGAGGATAATGTGGCACAAAGTTCCCTTTCAGGGGGGGGGGGAAGAGTTCACAATAGTAATAATTGATGAGTTTTAACGTGCCATAACCATCATGTCATCACGAGAGAGACAGAAGTGGAGGGCTCTGGAAATTGCTAGCAGCTGCGGTTTTTCAACGTGTGCCTGTATCTAAGCACTCAGGTCTCAGGGTTCATCGCAAAGCCTCCTGCCTATCATGTCTGGGTATGGGGCCGACTTTGGACCCCCTTCTCACCCCCTCCCTGTAATGTCAATGTATTGGGACTGGCTTTGCGTTTCTCTCCCAACTCCGCCCTTGCCCTACCCCCCTTGCGCACACCTCACTGATGATTGATATGTGGGGTTTGACATCCCAAAACCACCGTATGATTATGAGAGGCGCCGTAGTTGAGAGCTCCAGAAATTTCGACCACCTGGGGTTATTTAACATGGACCCAAAATCTGAGCACACGGGCTTACAACATGTCCGTCTCTAACCTTGCGCACGCCTATGCATTTGAAGATAAGCTAAATAATTCACAATGTCTCCAATACTTCACGACAAATCTAAACGTGTGATCCAGCAACCATTCAGCATGCCTCAGCGATCTGGCGTCTTACCCTTTTTCCTTTGCTTTTTGAAGCCTCTTAGCGTGGTAGTTGCGCCGGTGCTTCATCAGGAAGTCGTACGTTGAAAACGAAGAGGAACACATGTCACAGTCGAACCCAACAGTGGAAGTGCTGGGCGCCACTTCCTCACCTGCGAGTATAATAATGCTTAGACTGTTTAAATGGGCCCTGCAACACCGTTTGAAGTAGCCATTCAAGAGATACACTTAAAGAGCTTATTGCTTCACGAATTCACCACCACAAAACTTTTTAGGATCCAACCCTTATGCGAGTGGAGTTATGAAGATTTATCACTCGCTGCGATTGCTTTCTCTCTTTTGTGGTCCCCACGAAAGCACTGCAAGATAAGCAGGAAGAGATGGCATGGAGAAAGAAAATACGGCACGCGCGCCTTGTGACGTTGGGCACTTTAGCTCTCTTTCTTTCTCTCTCTCACTATTTTTCTTCGAATACACAGCTTTTCAGTGGGATCTCAAGTGCGTGCATGACCAGTCGCGGCGGCCTGAGAAACGGCCGAGCTCCCCATGCTATACTAAAACAGTGGCTGAAACAATGACTGTGACGTGTAATTTCTGAAATTGTATCTTAATTTCTCGAGAAGAAGAAAGCGATTTTTGAGTGGCCGAGAAGTTATTATGAATTCCCAGCCGCATTCTGCGCAATAACAATCAGGTCGCGTAATGTCGGTAGCCTCTACTACCGATCGGTATATAGTATTTTCTTACCTGGGTGAAAAAGCGTGTCAGGGCTCTTTCAAAGTACGAGCTCCAGGCGTCACACCAGCAAGCTTCCATGCGTAAGTAGGTTCGTCCATATTCAATGGGCAGATACTAAAGGTGTTGCACGCCTCATAGAACCTCTATACTTAACTTCAAAAATTATTGTTACGTTTAGACAAGATATAGCAAACCATTTTCACGTGCAGTAGAGTAACCGCTATTGTTTCAGCGGCTTGTGTATTTAGGGGACGCTAATAAGCAAAATGATTTTTTCCGTATCAATAAACTGCTATATTGCGATTACAAAAACGTCACGCTTGCCGCAAAAAAAAAAAAAACGCTTAGTAAGCGAAACAACATCAAAAAAGTTGATGAGGGTGGCGGCCTTGGAGAAAAAAAAAAAGAGGGAAGCGTGACGTCACTACACCAGATATTGCGAGCCCACCCGCTTTGAAGCCAGCAGTGTTAGCCCAACACGTGACATTTGCATCAAGAACACATAAAGATACGATGTTCAAATTACCGACAATAAACCTTACATCTTACTAATATGTTCAGATTTATTATTTCTCTTTAGTAGCCCTTTAGAGAGGTGTTTAGGGTGGACAAGGTCAATGCTATGTTTCCTTTTATGCTAGCGTGGAACAAGATATTGTAACAGGGCGCTATCGATTCAACGCGCTGTTAACTTCGTTTGTCTATCAATATGAAACTTTATGAAATTTTTTTTACGCGAGAAGACTACTATATATAGGCTACCAAGAGATGAAATTCTTAAACCTGCATTGATATCCAAGCTTATACAAGAATGATGTTCTGTTTTAGTTAACACTTGCAATAAGCTGTTTGAAACCGCAGACAGACGCATGATAAATCACAGAACGAGCATGAAATAATCAATCACAAGTGTCAACTATGTTTCAACCAACTAGCCCCTACTCTGACCATTCTAACCGCTGCCTTTTGTGTTTAATTTCGGTTATGGGGCTCGAGTGGGAATGTTAAATTTGCAAACAGATTAAAATCTACAACTTTGAATCAGACTTCATGACGCCATCGTAGTCCCTCTTCAACGGGGCTCATAGTTATTTCTAATCACGTGCAATCATGAACGCGGATGTAAGGTAAGATTTGTGGTGTGAATTTACACTTCGCCTCTATGTTCCACTGCTAACTGGAGTGGCAACCTTCTATTTTCTTCACTGCCATGTAACCAGCATCCTGCTAGAAACTGGCTGCATGGACTGATTAGTGCAGTAAGATAGAGTACACTGGGGTATTACTACAAATGCCTCAGCTTTGAAGCGCAATAAGTCAAATTGCGTTGAGTACGTGAACTTCCCAGTTAGTGTCCACAGTGCGTTGTCGCAGGGTAATGCTTAGTGACAATCGCCGCAAAACCTCCTTAATGGCGCGTGCATTCACCAAACTCTGTTCGCTGTGCAGACGTGCCTAGCCTTGGTAGCAGTGGCTCGAAAGTAGATGTTATAATGACTGATTGGTATGTGGGGCTTACCGCCCCGAAACCAATATATGACAAACACCGTAGTGTAATGCTGCGGAGTTATCGACTACCTGTGGTTCTCTAACGTGCACACAAATCAATGCTATACTGGGCGTCTGGTATGTGCAAAAATTCATTCGGAATGCTTTTCTTGAATTTATTTACAAAAATTTAAGACAATATAAGATTGTCTTAGGAGACGCAGCAAAATGCCCGAAAAGTGCCTGACTAGGTTGCATCACTCCACCCCGCCAGGGTGGTCTAGTGGCTAAGGTACTCGGCTGCTGACCCGCAGGTCGCGGGATCAAATCCCAGCTGTGGCGGCTGCATTTCGGATGGAGGCGGAAATGCTGTAGGCCCGTGTACTCAGATTTGGGTGCACGTTAAAGAACCCCAGGTGGCCAAAATTTCCGGAGCCCTCCACTACGGCATCTCTCATAATCAAATAGTGGTTTTGGGACGTTAAACCACACAAATCAATCAATTAGGTTGCATCACTCCGACAGCAGTCGTGACAGTGCGTGATGTTATTCACAACTTAACATAACCACAATAGCACTTAATAGTACAATACTAAAATAAAAAAAGAACATCTGCTCTTGTAATTTCTAGAGGAAAATAAACAATAAAACAAACAGCAACAAAATAGTTGTACAAATGTGGCAGTATCTGCTGTTCAATATAGATTGCGCAGCATATAAGAACACTTCAGTACATAACTGAGCCCCACAGCTTATGACTCCGAAAGCAATCACTCTTTTACTTGTTTTTTTAATTGAGTTGAGGAAATTCTATTTGCATTAGGTTTAATATACCTGGGTATATATTAGTATATAATAATAGTGTCTTCGGCACTACATCTGAGGACCACGATATGATTTCGCAAGACGCCGTTGTGGAGGGCTTCATGTTCAGACTATCTGGTGCATTTTAATGCGAACTCACTTCGAATAGTACGTGGCCCTTTCGCATGTCGCCTTGCGACTGCCACGGCCGGCATCGAACCCACAAACCTCGCGTCAGCCACCGAGAGCAGTAACCACTAACCCATCACGGCTGATACAAGACGGCCGAAGTCCGGACTCCAGAAGCTGAAAACTTGCTGTTATGATCTCTTGATATCTAGTGTTCGTTTTTGCCCATCTATTCAAATCAACATACTGTTACATGACAATCTCACTAACTTCAGCGGCAAACGATGACGCAGTGTAATAGTGCTTTAATCTGGGCTAATAAAATCTAAAAATTAGTCATCTTTATCTATTCGAGTTCATCGTACTTCTAAAGATCGCTTCGTGTTTTTTTAAGTATCGCTATATATGCGAGACGCTATAGTACTAAAATGTAGCTCTCGGGCAGCTATGCCCACAGCAGTGAAGTTATTGCCATGAAAAACGACGTAAAATGGTTGTGCACACCACGTCAGTAGTTCACATTTATTTCACGGTATCTTGAAAGCTATGAAACATTTTTTAAATATAAATTCCTTGAAATAGAACAAAATATTGGTTGGGCTGCTGACTACCTCGTCAGCACTACAATAACTCCAACAGTCGTTCTATATTCTGCTAGACTAGTTCTGCGAAGGTTACAGCTTGTGAGTATTAAAAAACTAACTAGAACACTGTACATTTTTTGGGTGACAGAAACATAAGGTTACTTAAGGGGCTCTGTAACACTTTTCAAGCACGGTTAGAAAACGTTGCTATTAGATAACGCACCACAAGGCCAAGGATTTACAGTCAATTCTCAAAGTACCCCAAAAATCGCTCCCTCTTCGCACTACAGATCATGCCATCTATTGAAATTACCGCACTATATACCGAAATTTACGGCCATTGGCTGATTTTAGCATCTTATGGCGCACAGTTATTGCGCCTCCAATGGGCGGCCGCCACGTGTCTGTGTGCGCGCTCGCCATCTCACTTAGGGTTAGCCGCGCGTTCAAAGAGTGCTCGAGGTCATCACGTGCATGTGACGTAATTTCTTTGCCCCTTAACCACCCTCCCCACTGCTCAGCTTCCAACACGTTTGTCAGAATGGGCGGAATGTCAGTTCGACACCACTCAGTGGCGTAGCTAGGCATTGGCAAACCGTGCCCGTACTCTCCTCTCGAATTTCTACCCTATGGCATGCCGAGCGATAGTTGAACATTTATTGGCGGTGCACCCCCTCCCCCTCAACCGGACAATCAGGAAGGCTTCCCTCTAAAATATTTCCTCCTACGTGCCCGACTCCGCTAGTATTCAACCGATTTAAAACATGCAAGAGGAGGTCCATTTTAAGGCGATAATCTCCTTTCAACAAGACATTTTTCGGTGCTTACTTGAAAGGTTGTTGCAGGGCCACTTCAAGAAAAAAAATATTCCTATCTACGATAATAGTATGCACAACGTAACATATTCCATCTAACCTCTATACAGTTCCACTAGGCAGGAATCATCGCGGCACCAACGTTCTATTACAACAGTGGCGTTAGAATATAACCTCGCAATTAAATGAGGAAAAAAGATGATTTCTTCTCTTCACCAATAAATAAGAAGTGCACTCGCCAAACGACTTGCTCCGTCAAAGAAGGTAACAGGCGTCTTGGCGAATCGTTACCGTGTACTAAAACGACATAATAATGATACACAAAACATAATGCCTCATAAAATGTAAAAGATCTGCCAGCGCAATATGGAAAAGCAGCTAATGCGTATTTACCCTTTATTTTTTTACACTGAATTAATCGTTCAGGTAATATAAATAAATGTTTTTCTCAAAATTATTGCAGTAATGCTACCACAAAATTTCGCTTATTTGTATTTCACAAGACCACATCAAGGGCATGTATGTTGACTGGTTCCTCGCAATAGTTATCGTGGCATAACTGCTTCAGACTATAACAGTGTTACAATAAAAAATAAGAGGCGGAGTTGCTGCTAAACGAGGATAATAATGCAGAAACATAAAGAGCGCGACACAGACTGCACTTATGTGTGGCAAAGACAAGCAATACCATACGAGGAAAAATATAAATAACGCTACGGTATATTAGGATGTATTTCAAGAAGTTCTAACGGCAACTATGTAGCTTTTTATTAGTTATGACGTGCTGGTCGCAGAGGCCGCGTTTAAAAAAATAAATACCTGCACAACCGCCAAAAGCATACAATTCAAAACTAGAGGAAAAGGCCATTGCGGCGAATGATTAGTATAAGTTTTGACGCCGTGCAAAAAAAAAAAAGCTTTGTAAATGGGATGCAGCCCCGAAATAGGACACAATACAATACTCGTACCACGTCCGGTCTGCTTCAATTTCTTTTACAACATGCATGAAGTTCACCTTGCCCACTCCGCTGCAATAATTATACGTTTCAAACAAGGAGACAATGATTGCGAGCGTAGGTGCCAGAATAAATATCAATTTTCATGCTTTAAAAGTTAAACGAATGCTAACGACGACATAGAAGGAAGTGGCTAAGGGCGCACACGCTATCGCTTCACGGAAATCCAGGGAACTCGACCAGATAAGCGAGGGAACATTCTTTCGCATTATTAGTCAAGTCTAATTACACTCGGAGCGATGACTGAGAACGATGTACGCGCGGAATTAAACAGAGGGCTCGCCGAAGGTTTCGTGGAAAAAAATAAATATATACTCACTCGTTTCGACGGTCACGCTGCATGTGTCCGTGGCGCTGAGGCAAGGGACGTCGAGGTAGGTGGCGTCGTCGACGAACACGTCTTGTGAACCTTGCTCGGATGACATGGTGACACGCGGAGGACAGCCGATCTGGTTCGTCCTCTTGTTCGAACGCACAGTTGATGAGTGTCTTCTTCTTCGTCACCGACCTTGACATGATCCAGCAGCCGGGCATTGCGAAAACCCGCGCGTTTTCTTCTTTTCATTACATTTACGCGTTAACTTCGGGCCCTTATAGTTACGGATTTTGTCGCTGCGTAAAAATTTAGAAGGTAAGCCCTTTCTTGAGCCATGTTTAAGAAAGGCTGCTCTGAATAACAGAACTTACCGTTCTTTTGAAGCATAAAATGGTGTAAAACAATAACCCACCACTGAGCCAGTTACCTGCATTGAGTATGAGCGGTTTTCAAAGGACAAAAAGACAACAACAAAGCGACAACCTAGGCTGAAGTTTTGACGAGATTATTGAGATGTAGAGCACGAACAATAAATCTATACATGACTTAATGGTATAGAAATTGCCCCGCTGCGGTGGTCTAGTGCCTAAGGTACTCGGCTGCTGAACCGCAGGTCGCGGAGTCAAATCTCGGGTGCGGCGGCTGCATTTTTGATGGAGGTGAAAATGCTGTAGGCTTGTGTTCTCGAAATTGGATGCACGTAAAAAACCATAGGTGGTTGAAATTCTAGAAGCCCTCCACCTACCACGTCTCTCATAATGATACGGTGGTTTTAGAACGTAACATCTCACATAACAATCAATCAATCTGGTGTAAAGATACGTTTCTTATGTCTAAAAAAGAAGCAATATTATTTCTGCATTGATTTCTGCCCTACCGATGTTTTTGTATACCATGAAAAAAAAAGGACTTTTCGGTTATACTGAGGCAACCTGATGTGCATGTCACTCGAACGGAGCTGTTGTTAATTAGTGCTCTAGAACACTTGGATGGGAATATAAGCAGTGGTGTAGACAAATTCATTAATAGTTGTAAGCGATCTATTACATTTATAAATCACTGAGAATTATCCCGTGGCGATCTATCACCATATATCAATAGTTTTTAACTGCCTAATAAAAGTGCACGGCGAAACATTCACTTCGTAGTTAGAAAAAAAAAACACATGAAGAATGACCATTATTCCTTGGCTTCATAACTTCGAGAATGCTTGATTGATTTGTATGTGAGGTGTAACGTCCCAAAACCACCATATGATTATGAGAGACGCCGTAGTGGAGGGCTCCGGAAATTTTGACCACTTGGTGGGGTTCTTTAACGTGCACCCAAATCTGAGCACATGGGCCTACTCCATGTCCGCCTCCACCGGAAATGCAGCCGCCGCAGCCTGGATTCGATCCCGCGACCTGCGGGTCAGCAGCCGAGTACCTCAGCCACTAAACCAAGGGGGTGGGGCTTGTAGGACGCTTTGAAAAAATAATATTAAAATCCGCCCAACTCCTGGCCAATCCCCTTAGGTGGTATGTTCCAATCATCGCAGGATCATCCGTATAATCATTATCATGTCCGCATTATTTATGCATGAGAACTACGGTTTTTTTTAAAACCACTCAATTCTTGGTCAATCCTCTCAGTGGGTATGTGCCACGGACAATACGTCAAAAAGAACAAGAACGAGAACCACAGTTGGTGCTGTCAACATGGCTATGATGGCTCTTCTTAAGATAAGAACGTATGCCGAGCCACTATGCTACCTTTTCGGTGAAGATGTGGTACTGTTAATTTCTAGGACACGAGTTGGATAGCCGAATACTACAGTATACGCGAAGAAAATGGGAAGGTATTGCACATTCAAATCTGAATACACAGTAGAAATGCACACAGTTAAAGTTGGCCTAGTGTCCCAAGGTAACCTGCGGAGAGTTCAGTTATCCATCATTCAGACACACGATTTTGTTTGCGCTCAGTGCAATCGAGTTTGCGCTGCTACAATCGGCATTTTTCTAGCAATCAACCATGCCTCGGCAATCCCTCGCATATTCTTATTGCTGTTTCTATACCGAACTGCACAATCATTGAACACTGGAGGCAGCGGCAGTTGTTGCAGTGCACTGATACGGGCCCATCGCTGTAACAGTGGAAGGCTTGCTTGCGCTCTCTGAGTGATTTATTCATGCATGTGCCAGTCTGCCTTACACGCACTTTGCCGCACAAGAATGGGCACCTATAAAGAACACTTTATGCACTGGCCTAGAAAGGGCCCTGGTGCTTCTTCCGTCATTCTGGGCATTTGCTGTGACAAAGGATGATGAGAACAAAAGCTCAATAGTTTTTGTAGAGCGTCAAGTACCACATCTACTTCGACTTTGCAGTCCACATTGTTTAAGTTGTGAGATTACCTGGGCATGTATTGCACAGATACCACCTTTCGCTTGTCTCGATCGTGACTGCTAGAGCTAGCCTGTTCTTCTACCATTTAGTGCGAGAGCTTATTTCATACATATTCTGGCGTCCGCGTTGGTGCCCTTTGTTTGGAGAAAAAAATCAACATATTATGCGTAATTTGAAAATCGAAAAGTTGTAAATAATATAAACAAGGAAATATTCTGGTTCTGAGTGATAATCAAACCCGCATTGTTTTCGGGGCAAGCAACTGTTTCACCACAGGCAACGCGTATGCTTGGAAGTAGAGTGAAAATAACATACGCTCATTCTAAATGCAATAAAAAGAACTTGCCTGCAATGCAAACACAAACGGCCTGTATACATGCTTGAAAATGCATCATATATTACCTCAGTAATGGTGCGCGATGTAGCATACGTCGCGATCGGGCGTCACAACATGCGGTTATCATAAATTGATGGTCATGAATTCACCCACTACAAAGAAACACATTACTGTGACTTTTTTATAAATGCCACGTAGTGGGTGCATAGCAAGTTCGAACACATTTCGCGCGCACAATTGCCTGTAATTTGAAGCCTGCTTTCGGTTACACAGAATGCAGCCATTTGGTAAAGCTTCAAAGACACAAGCTATATTGAACTCATGAGTTATGAGATGGAATATCGCTATCGCGTTCAACTTTTAAAAGCGAAGTTGAAGGATCCTCGAATTTTCTCAAAGGGTTCTCCGCCAATGACAGGAGCACGTGGGTTGGGTACCTTGCACCAGACGTGACTCTTTTTGTCAGGAGAAACTCACTTGCGTTCAGTGAGACCATGAGTGAGGAGTTCTCGACCTAACAGATGTTAGCAATTATACACATCACTAAACCAGATAGATAGATATGTAGGGTTTAACGTCCTAAAACCACCATATGATTATGAGATACGCCGTAGTGGAGGGCTCCGGAAATTTCGACCACCTGGGGTTCTTCAACGTGCACCAAAATCTGAGCGCTCGGGCCTACAACACATCACTAACCTAGAAAAGAGGTGTTGTATGCGGAAGTTGCTTCTTATTCTATCGACTGTGATATTTCCAACAACAAAGCTGCTAGTCCAAATTAGTTTGATGTCTGGAAACTGAATGATATTATCAAGAAGAACTTCATGTATAATAAGGTGTTTGTCAAGGATTCGTGGAACACAAAAATCTCCATGTAAGCGCATGGTAAAAAAACACCAGATGGTCAAAACTTCGGCTCCAGACTCCACTTCTTTTTTTTGATGTAGAATGCTTCTACACGTTTTGTCACCTGATCACTATGTTTGAAAAGCACTGTCGTTTCACTAAACAAGAGCGTGCACCCACACGTGTGGCAGTGCAAAGACAGATTCGCTATATCTTTACATCGACATCTTTACATGAAAAAGAAAAAAAAAATCCTAACCGGCAGCATGATTGTTTGAAATTATTTTTTTCGAGCCTGCGCAGTTACCCGCAGCGTAGAAATGGTAATGACGTCAACACGATCCCTCGCTGGTCCCTCTACGCATGTTCTCTGTGTTTGTCTTATGTGTTCAGATAATTTGTATATATCAAAAGATCTTCAGTTGAGAGTCAGCGCTTGTTTGTGTCCATTCTCTTTGATCCGTGGGTTTTTGTGCTGTTACCGCACATAATGTATGAGAAACAAGCCCAACTATCTGTCTTTCTTCAGTTTATTTCTTCTACAATTGCTTTTTTTCTTGTCCTAACGTATTTTAGCGGCGAAGCTCCTTAAAGCGGCACACGTTCGTCCCCATTGTAGTCGTAGTGCGCAACTAGTCTTACGTTTTGACCTGCAAAGTGGTACCAGTGGGAGATTTCTCTTGTGCATTGTTGAACGACGAAAAACTCGCAGCGTGCGCGTTAAATAAAAGCCGAATTCTCCTGTCTCTAATTCCCAATTAGCAGCCGTTGGCACGTACATTGAGCAATATTTGACAAGAAAGGGTTGCTACGTTATACGTGCTGGGCGTAACCTCCTTAGTTTTACAAATGTTTAGCGAGCGCAGTGCCATGAATACAGTGAACTATTATATACGATGAACTCGAGGTGGTTAAAGGTGGGAAGTAGACACGAAGCGCAAATCTTAAGAAAGTGTGCATGTGCCACCTCTCGTTTAGTTCTTGGAATGTCTGCTCGTTGGCGGTGCTTCTATATGCGGAATATATGATGAAAAGATGCGAGATGGTGGTACTAGGAGTGTTGACTAGATGGACGAATGGACACACAGACAGATGCATGAACGGATCCATGGATGGCTGCACAGACAGATGGATGCATGGATGGACGCGGAGGCGGATGCATGGACGAACGCAGGGACGTACGCACAGATGGACGTGCGGACGCACGAACAGATGCACGCACGGACGGCTGAATGAACGCACGGTCGGTCACACAGACGGACGCATAGATGGACGGAACCAAGATCGAACGGACGGACGCATGCTTCGCCCCACTCTATTATTCACCCCGTGGATATGCTGCCAATTTTTTTTTTCAAGACCCAGCCTTCTTGGCGGCAAAAATGGCTACTTGCGAATGTCGCACAAGAATGCCATCATGGCACTTGCGCCTAGGAACATGCCCACAGAAACTAATGGTCATGTGCGTGGGGCATAAGACCATCGGTAGGACACACAACGCGGATGTGCTGAAGTTAGAGGTCTGCATTCTGGAGCCCGAGAAGACTGCTTAAGAACTGCCTTAGGACAACGTGCGTGCGACAGTGTGGAGGAAAGGAGGGGGAAACAAGATATGGGGATTCAGTGATTGAGTTTCCTTGGATGACAGCCAGATCATGAGCACCGAAATGCAACGGGAAGACAAATCCTGTGGTCAAGGTCTTGAACCTAGCCGGTACAGCGATACCGGAAGAGCACAGGGAGACACTTAAGCTTGAACCAAAGTTCTGCGTGGAGCCGAGGTTCAGTGCCATTGAAAAAGTAGCTTTAGCGAGGACTGTTTCTAAGCATGTTACGGAGATTGAGAGGACAAGGTGTGTGTCTGAATGTGCAGATGTCATTATGCGTAGTCAAAAAGAGACAAAAGCGTACGGTTACTAACTCTTGCCAAATCCTTGAAAGGAAAAATTTGAAGTTATTGACCGCGGATAAGGAAGTGTTTTTTGTACTGTTGACTGGGGGATAGTTCTCTCAGAAAGCATCTGTGGCTCTGATTAAAAACTTCCAGGTAGGGAGAGGTGAGCCGAAAAATGTTAAAGAAAGCGCAAAGAACCTCTTCCAGGAAATGAACCTAGAAAGTCTGTCTAGAAGTGTAGCAAAGACTCAGGTGTTACAACTGGATTCCTTTCTTTTTCGATAAAGACCATAAGATGCATTTACCGGAAATGCACCCTATAAAACTTCCCCTTTAGATTGTTTACCGTGGCTTCGCGCCACGGCTTAGCATGTTTACTGGTCGCTGCCGCTAGTGTTTTGATGCTTTTTGCGGATAGGATTCCGAGGGAACGCTCTGAGGATTAACAGAAGCAGCCTTTTCGCACTATTGTTTTCGAAAGAGGCGCATGGCAATTGATTGTTTCAGCATTCTTGCAGAAGCAACTCGAAAAAACTGAAATGCAGGATCTATTGATAGTAAAGGAATCGCTGGTGATAGCTGAAGAATTACGTTGTGCGAAGTTTGACGGATGCACGGCGAAGTTTGACGGATTCTTCTACGTCAGTGTAGACGTAGAAGAATTTATATTACTCCCTTCCACAGCGGCAGCAAATGAATTGTGTTAAATAACGCATTCTGGAGGAAAACGATGAGCAAAACTTCCAAAACATTTCTGGTTTGAAGGTGCAATTGTTTCTGGAGTGATTGATGTTCTATTTGCAATCAACCTTGATTCTTAGGGAAGGGAAAACGATGGTTAAGAAAGCGAAGCTTTCTATTGAATCTACGGTGGCACCAGTTCTCAGCAACATCTTTCTGGGGATAGACGATTCCAGTCTAGAAAAGAAGTTGGAGGGAAAGGTGGTTCGTGTTGCCCGTTACGTGGATAGTGGTGCCCGAAATGAGGAGCGCATGAATGTTATAAAGGACCTGCAGATCTTTCGCAAAACTGAAATGGGGACTAAACTTCACCAGCGAAATGCCTTCACAGCACGCCTTACAGCTATAGACATAAAAATAACTTTTTCTAACCACCACACTTGTGTGCATAAGCAAAGACCCGTAAAATCGTAGCTTAATTACAAGTCGGGTCATTCAAAAATAGTGAAGAAGGGAATCACTAGGTCTAGTCTCGGGGCAGCTATTCAAGGGTCGTGCAGGCACCAGGCGGAACAAAGCTTCTATGAACAGGTGTATCGCCTTCAGGTAGCCAGCTTCGACGCCTGTTAGCCCTTCTGTTTGAGAAGGTCTGATAAGTCAGATCAAGAAAGGAACAAGAAAGTTCACAAAACAGGAGAAGTAAAAAAAAATGTGCCACCATGCCCTACAAGCATAGGTTAGCCCATGGACTAAAAAATGTGGCATCACGATACTATGTACAGGTACTATTCTTAGGAAGAAACAAATTAGGAAAATTGTGACCTATGGTGAACGAAAAGCGTGATAGAAAGAGCTCCAGCCAAACTAAATGCGGGGTAGAACACAGGGATGCTTCAAGACTCTGTATACTAGGGTAGTGTACAAAATTTCCTTAACATGCAAAAAAGTGCATATTGGGCAAACAAGGCGTTGTCTCTATGTACGGCTAAAAGACAGCTCCGGAACCTTTAATTCCTGCACGTACGGGAATCTGCCTTCACACTGCCACATGTGTGGGTGCACGCCGTTGTTTAATGAAACGACAGTGCTCATCAAACTTAGTGATCAGGCGACAAGAGAACTTGGGAAAGCATTCTACATCAAAAAAGAGGTGAAGTTCTTCGTTAGTCAAATACAGATATTTTTACAAAAACAGAAGAAATCCTAATCAATAGGATGTTTGTTGGAAGTTATTTTTGTCGCGCCTGCGCAGTTACCCACAGCGTAAAATTGATGATGTCTACATGGTCCCTTGCTGGCCCCTTTATGCATGTTCTGTATGTTTATTTATGTGTTTGGATAATTTGTATATATCAACAAATCATCAGTTGAGAGTCAGTGCTTGTTTGTGTTACTTTTCTTCAAACCATGATGTTGTGCGCTGTTACCAATCATAACGGTAAGACGCATTAGAAAGAGTCCCGTAAATTCACTGCATTTAACGCATGGGGTGATGGGCAGCTACAGGCTTCTTACATTACAACGCATCTGTTTCCAGCAGTAGTGCCAATGCATCGTGCAAATAACAGCAGTCCAGGTTTGGTCTTCCTTGTATTTACGGGGAACTTCAGATTAATGTTCTTGCCCTATAGATTGGACTGAACTTCAAGATCACAATTAAGATCAATTTTTTATAGTATGATAGTACTCGGAAGTTTAAATTGTGAATTACTGCAATGTAATCTACATAGTACCTGGTGTCTGTGGCTTGTGTCGCTGAAGCTTTCGCATATGGCTGCATTCTGGGTAATTGGTAGGATGCTTCAAACTATGAGCAATTCTGCTCGTGAAATTGTTTCGAACTTTCTATGCACCCACTACGTGGCCTTAAGGAAGTACGCGCAGTAACGTGCCTGCGTTTTTAATTGGTGGTCGGCTCTAAACTACGATGTCGTCGTTGTGATAATTACATGTTCCGACGCCGCAGGGCAATTTAGGCTTGTACCACGCAATATTGCTGTAATAAACACGCTGTGTTCTCAGTCCTGCATATAAGTCACGCGTGTTCATGCATTTACGTACTTTCACTGCACTTCCAAGCACAAGAAATTCGAATTTTCAACTACATTTACAAGCGCACTCGTAATTGTGTTCTAGGACGCCTGCTTGCCGCGCGAAGGGCCTGCTTTGGATTATCTATGGAACCAGGAAAGTTTCGCCATTCAATTTATTTTCATCTTTCTCAATATTAGGTCACGCGCAAAATTAGGATGTTTCTCTCGCAACAAACGAAGCTCATGCTGACGCTGACAGCAGTGCCGGAATTCCCGTGCAACAAGCTCTTCAAACGCTATCTCTATAAATAGTGCAAGACGGAGAAGGTGAATCCGCGGAGAGTCTTAAGAAAAACATAAATGGCCGGTAAAACAGGGAAGCGTAACGGACATTTCGATGAACCATACAGTGACATCGGAGGAATTATTATTATTATCTGAGTTGCATACGCAGATACACAAAGACACAGAGAAAAGAGGGAGCGAGCAAGCTGGCAACTGCAACCTGGAGGGGCACAACACCTGCTGACTCTTCCGGGAGGAGGGAAAAAACAGAGGAAACAGAGGAAGTTTGACTGACTCTAAGCCAAATGTCTAGGTCTACCTTGCGTACCAGCATGGCCGATTATATTGATGATTTCTTCTTGCTGATGGAGCTCGCCTACAATGATTGGGCAGAAGTCTCGAGGCAGCATCTTTGAGTTAAATATCTCTGAAGCTAAGAAAAAAAACCCTGTAACTTAAGACTCAAAGAAAACATCTCCAATGAATGAAAATTATATACCACCAACAGTCAGACTTTGCGACGGAGTACATCAAGAATCAAAAACAGCATTCATTTAGAATATTGAGAATGATTCAATGAGAGGGTTTGAAAAGGGTAGAAGGAAAAAAATTGATAATCATCCCCAATTTGCCTGATTACGGAGATTCCACTTACGCAATGTGTTGCCGAAACTGTCACCTATATTACTGATCCAAGAATTTAAAGAGAAACGTAGTGGAATCTTTTATTTCGGTACTGAAATGACCAAGAGGTATGTGCTTCTTCAAGGCCATTCATGCTGTCCGCAGACTCCCCTTCTGCATGTCTGCAAACAAACAAATACGTTGTTTGCATATAACACGAAACACACGTCTAAAGTTAAGACGATTATGGAGACAATGTCTGACAAAATAAAACTAGAAAACAATTGTGTAAGCTCTTGTTCACCTCACAGGTAACCTTCTTTATTGCTCATTTCGAAGCTATTTAACTTATCGTAAAGGCGCTGCAGCGGCAAACTGCTGTAGTCTGTTTTTGTCCAATTTGAAAGCAGTCAGGTGTTTCCTTCCCAAGCTCTCTTAAACGCATAGAACACGCTTTGAAAGAAGCGAGTTGCTGAATTTTTGAAAAATAAGCGTCTTGTGGGAAGTGCGCTTTTAAATATGGCAGGTGAATCAAGAATAAGCGATTCATGAAACTTTGCTTCTCCACTTTCTGGAAAGGTCAAAAGGGGTGCGAGATAGAAACATCTAGACGTATTCGTAGCAAGAACAGATAATTCATTTCAGAGAGCCACTATTCTACATCAAAATATCACTGCAGAGAAAAGAGGAGAGCTTTCGGGAAATGGCTGTAGGTTTTTTGAATCTTTTGCCATGCCGGTACAGCATAGGTACATCCGCATAAGCTATCTAAGAGGAAAGGTCAGTGAAGTGTAATGCTATACATCTTTTGAGCGAGGATAAATAGGGACTCATATTTCAGTTCTGGAGCACTATTGATTCAACGTGAACCTATATTAGAAAATTCATGGTATTGTTTATAAAATTCCATAATTCAGCAAGAAACGGTATCAGAATTTCAACAACATGCCGCCTAGTTCTCGCTGCCACGTTTATACAATAAACCGTGTGCTAAAATCTAGTCTTCGAGGAACGATTCCTATACAAAACAAACACAATCCATCGAACTGTAATAAAGAACCACTTATCTTTGTAAGCACTGGTTCTCGTTTTATTTTCAACCTCTTACTACCATGTTTGCATATTTCGAGGAAATCTATGCAAAAGTAAAGGATACAAACCATTCCTCCATCACACTTCATCCCGTCTAGCACGGTAGCATTAAGGCACCTTTTCATAGTAGGGGATGTCAGGAAACAGCACTTCATTTTACACCTTCTGCTATTGTCTTCAAGCTGAAAAGGGCAACAGCGCTGCATTGTAAATTGCTCTGAAATATACGTTATTCGTTAAAGGAAGCAGAAACAAAATGTTTTAACACAGGCATAAAAAATAACAATGGAAACACCCGAATAAGAAACCGTGCTAATAAATCAAGCTCACTACAATAAATAAAATTGTGCACGATGAAGGAATTCGCAATGCACTGACAGACAGGGGTGTAGCCAGTAAAAAAAAAAAAATGTATGGCCTCCCGAAGGTCCGCCTCTACCACTTCCTAAAACTTTTTCTTGCTGCCTTGTACCTCCAATGAAAAAATGATTTGGTGCAAAGCAGAATGCAGACAGACAAAGGGCACAGAACTGGCACTGTCCTGGTCTCTTGTCTGTCAATGTGTTGTTTGGCACAAAATATTTCTGACAACAAGAAGCCATAAACAACTAGTCGTAGAAGACGTTTTGCTATGCAATGTACTACCGACAAAAAGGGCCTCCCCCGCTGCAAATCATGTCCATTTTTATTCACTTGTACGCGATTAGTATTCAGGGTCTAACAGGTCTGGTTACCAATATTTGTGGCTTGTCCCAAAGGGTGTTGCTTGGCCTAGCTTTTCTCGTGACGCTCATGCAACCGTGGCTGCAAAACCAACGAAAAACGAGGTTTTTATAGCGGTTCAATGGCCAGTGCTGTCAACGCGGACCTTCTGCTGGTCCCGTGCATCAGGCTGCGAACGACAGTCGCAAATACCCGACAAACAAGCGTATTGCCACAGATTACCCTTTATTTGACAGGACGGCACGTTAAGAAACGTAATTGGCTCGCTCCTCTACACTCAGGCGCGATACCACCCCTCTGTATACCTGCCGAACGCTCACGATTAGGCTCTAATCCTTAAAAATCGAAATGTTGTTGCAGTGATGTGTTGAATACAAAATGCCTATATAGTGGTAGCAAAGGGCTTGAGCAAAAAAAAAGTGGAGGGCTCATTTTGATGACTCGCCGAGGGTTTGACTTCTTTCTCCTGTACGGGCAGGGCAGAATCGTTTTCAGTGAAGTTCTGACATTTTAGTTTTAAACAGAGATGGCCGTATACTACCTGAAACGAATAGATGGCCGTGTACTTTGTAATCTGAAAACGAAGACATCACAAAACACTGGTGCAGCATGCGTGCAACGTCTTGTCGGGCACTAGAGACGTGAGGTAATCAGCCGTCACTGATATCTGCGGTTACTATAAGTCCTGTGGCTATTATACACAAAGGCGGAGTTCGGAGACTATGAAATGCAAGTGATTGAACATACACCGATGTCCAGACTGCCCCCACTTAATATCACGGTACAATAAAATGTTTTTTTTTTAAAGAACGACGTCATTCTGCTGAATAGAGCAGTCTTCTCCATACTGGCATAAAATCTCACCTTAAAAGTGCGCGTCACTAGTCCTCACCTGGCCTACTAACCAATCGAGAAAAAGACGCCAACGTTGCCTATGAACGAACATATTCTGAGGTATGGCGCCTCCAGAAATAGACTCAAGGGAAAACTGCGTGGAAATATATTTTGACGCTTAACTCGTCGTGGCTCTGCAGGACGGCTCGAATTTTGTGCTCTAAGTAATTTGCGACATTGTCCGGCCATAGCTTTATGTAGCTCACGTAGTTAAATGAGTTAATGCAGAAAAAAAGGGAGAGCAAAAGGAGTATCGGAAAGAGCCACATGCACTCTGATGAGATAAAAACACAAAAAGCGCGTTCTGGTTACAGTTGTTCAGAAAGACCTGTCAGTCGTAAGAGGCGCAGTTGCATTTACAGGGCCTTCTACGACGTTGTGTAGTGTTGATGGCACTACTTTTCTGCCCTGAAACTTTGGTTTTCAAAGTGAAACGCGTTGGGAAGAGATAGTCGCTTTTCCATTTAAAGTGGTTTCCCCGAGTGTTTGCCGTTTTCTGGCCATTAGGTGCGTTTACTGAAAACGCACCCTATAAACTTCCCTTTTACCTTGTTCAAAGTGGCTGTGCGCCACGGCTTAGCATGGTGACTGGTTGCTGCCGCTAGTGTTTTGATGTTTCCTGCGGATAGAATTCCGACGGAACGCTCGCGAATCACGCACTCTTGTGCTGTGCCAGGACTGGACATCCGATCCGTAACTACTTTGCTTCAGGACAAGACATTCTGTTTACCGGCATATGTGAAACAAAAACAAGGGTAACAAGTGCATTCTTGCAAAGAGGGCGTTAATTTCCTCTTCCAGTTCATCAAAAGCAAGTAAAACTCACTGCACACTGTAACGGCACAGAAGTGATGCTGAGACGTTTCTCGGAGGTCCACAATTTAAAAAAAACACGATGGACGCCATCGTCATCCACCCACGAAAGTTATCTGCACCAACACCTAAAGTGGCTAGCAAAAAGCAAATCCGACCTCAAAAGAGAATTGTAATGTTCGAAAGAACAATCGGGACCCCTAGGCGCCTTTGCTCAACATGAGTCGCCCCACAGTTGTGCACGCCTTTGTGCTCATGATTTAGATGCGAAATGTGGGATGTGTGGCATGACAGCGCATGTGCAACGCCCCCTTCTATCTCGCCTCCTAGCTCCCCATCTCTTGCGTCGCAACGCTGACGCAGGCAATGTGTCTTCTCGCTCCCCCCTCTTTCTCATATACGTATTCCTTCAAGCAGCGTCTACACCCATAAAGTTTCCTATTTTACACTAGAGGGAACTCCATTGAGCATGGAAATGATGAGTAGTACACAGGTTTGTCTAATGTTCGTACTTCTGGCCCTCTTCTGGCTTCGTGTGTGTTCGTATGGCTTGGTTCTGTTCCCTCACAAAACAACAATGAGCAAACATACAGCGGTTGCGCTTCACAACCTTATTCTTTTAGGCTTAGCATTTTGAATCGGGTCACTAAGTTCAAAAGAGTTCGTTCTCTCCTCCAAACGAAATCAAAACCATCAATAAACGAAGCTGCAAGTACGACTTGTCACCCGAGAGTACGAAGACTAGGCAAGTCTGTGCACTACCAATCATTCCCATAGTCGCTAACGGTCGCAGCGCCAGAGTCCCCCCTTCTTAATTTTAAGAAACTCTATGTTTACACCCCTATTGTACATGCGCTCCTCTTCTCACCTATCTCCTCTGGTGCAGTACTCCTTCTATTGCCTTGCAACAACGATGAATGCATCTGCTCACACCTCTTTTTCTCTCTCTCATCCAGGCTTCTCTTCCAGAAGTGTTTACAGACCCATCACGCATGCGCATTCGCTCCTCTTTCTCATCTCCTACGCTACCTCTCTCACTTCGAAATGCAGGCAGCGTTAGCCACCCAGTTTCTTGATTGAAAAAAAAAAATGCGCCCATTTCCCCGAAGGGAATTGTGAGGAAACGCGAGTGCATTTCTCGCGCCTTGAGTGGGTACCGTTTTTGTCAGAAATTTCTCTTCACCGACTTCTGTCATCGAATTGAAAGACGACCAGCCAGCGAACGGCTGAAAGTGAGAGTGAGCGAACGCGATAGTAGAGCGCCAGCGTTCTCGACTTGGCGTCAGCGTTTCACAGGGTTGTCTCGAGCACACATTTTCGGATGTTTTTGAGAGGTGTCCAGCCAGAGAACGGTCGAGAGTGAGGCGCGAGTGGACGGGAGAGTGGGGCGCAGGGATAAAATAGAGTGAGTGGTGATAGATGGAGCAGCGAAGCACTGCTTCTACCCTCTCCTATGCTATCGCACCATATTCTGCGTTTGCTTGGGTTGAGAATAAGCGTGCGCGCCCGCATCTATTTCTACGGGAGACGGAGCGGGACCGAAGAGACAACACCTGCCGGCGCGTGAACAGCACCGGATGTCTCACATTGCCCGACTAAGACACGATTTACGATTGAAAAACTTAATGTTCACGCTGCACCACCACTGACTGGTCACCTCGTATACAAAGGCAATGAATTTTGACCTCCAAAGTAGTGCCAGTGGACGATTTTTTTCTGTGCGTAGTTGAACAAGAAATTTGAGAGTTTGCGTTAACTGAAAGCGGACTTCGAGTCTCTGTGTCAAATTGAAGTCGTCTGTCTCGCATTGCCAATTAGCAATGGTTGGCACGTCCGTATAGGAAACATTGGTCCATTACTGCGTGCTTTGAGCCTTTCCAGCTTTGTCTCCTGCACAACGTCACCACCAGAGCAGCGTAAACGCCTTAGCCTATGTAAGCGTTAACGCCTGCTGCTTCGGATATACACATGGTTTCTTTTAGCGAAATATGGTGTAAATTCTGTGTATTTACTTGTATTTTTCAATTCAAGTGATATCGTTGCATTGGCTACCGATGGAAGCGACGCCTACGGGTGGGTTCGCATCGTTGTAACTAGTAAGTCATCTCTTGTCCCTCGATGTTGTCTTCTTCCTTCGTCTCTTAATGTTTTGTAGCCATTTAGTGACATCTTAACACTTGATGCATACTTACCACATTTTGTGCTCCAACTTTGTATATTTTAACAATATATCTCTGTGTATTGTCCTGAGTAAATTTTCGTATTTCATTATTATGGTTCCATGCCCTACTATTTTCATTTATTGACACCACTTACTATGCCAAAAAAAAGTGAACACACCTGCAAAGCAACCTAGCTGAAAGCTATGATCATATAAGCTATCATGTCGCGAGTGAACGGCTCAAAATCCAAACAAGATCATGTTTTTTTTATTTTGCACGCCTCGCTTTTTAAGTGCTGGGCGATGACGTCCTGACATGATTGGTAACACGCTTGCACGACGTAGCACATCTCCCCTTTTACCAGTTGAACCTTTGAGGTGGCTGTCGTAGCCTGTTGGACCGGCGCTGCGGTAACGGTGCGTCAGGTTGGCTGGAGGGCGGCGACCCCGCCGGCGCGGGCTCAGCGATTCCGGCTGGCATGGACGAGGTTTCGTTTGCGGTGTGGTGGTGGATGTTGTGGCACACCCCGGCTGCGACGTATTCGAGTCCTTGCGGGTGCGCGGCCGCAGTTGGTCCGCATGACGACGTTGCTCCGGTGTAGACAGTTCTCATCTGAGCCCCTTAAGTGGTGGTTACCACTCCAAGCAACCATTCCGGCCGGCGGTGGAAACTTCTCAGCCACAAAGGCTGTCCTGCCCACAACAACACCATAGAAGGGCGTTCATCAAATGGCGGATCACCACCTGCACTCGAAAGGCCAGTCTATCCTGGTCCATAGCTTGTAACCTTGCAGTAATTTGGGCGGAGTCTTTCTAGCCTTTACCGGTTTCCATCGGAAGCGACATAAAAAGTGACTGCGTGCGACGTGCCAACCCCTTGAGCTTTTCGAAGGCCTTCCTTGATCGTGCAAACCACGCGTTCTGCCAGGCCATTTGACTCCGGGTGGTAAAAAGCCATCGTCACGTGGTTCAACCCATTCACTCTACGGACTTCTCAAACTCGGCTGAGACAAACTGTAGCCTATTATCTGAAACCAGCGTATGTGGCAGGCTGAACCTTACAAATATGAACCTTAACGCTTCCACGGTGGTTTCTGACGTCGTACTGCGCCACGGTATGGCGTCCAACCACTTAGTTACAGCATCCACGACCACCAGTAGCAAGTGCCCTTCGACGGGGCTTGCGTAGTCAATGTGCAACCGAGACCACTTGCACCCGAGCCATTGTGCCGGAACATCGCGCATTCGCATACCATTGTTTCGATGTCTGCATCCAGCTCTTGATACCAAAAAGTGGTTCGCGCAAGGTTTCTCATTGCCGCCGTTCCTGGATGTGTTTCGTGTAGGAGCCTCAAAAGACTTCCAGCAGCCGCTGATGGCACGACTATTCTACGCCCACAATAATGAGGTTCTGAATCACAGTCAGCTCATACATTTTTTTGGAAGAACGGAGGTAATCACTCAGCGGTCTCTGTCAAATACTGAGGCCTGCCCTGCGGGATTCACTTTTGCACCTGCTGTAACATAGCATCATGCATGGTTTGAACCAACAACTCTTTGGAACCATTGGGGGCCGCATTCACAGTCTCAGCACATAATTTAAACTCGGAAGCGTCGTCTTTTTCGTTATTGGGCTGCATCCGAGAAATAGCAAGTCGGCTGAAGGCATCTGCGTTTACTTTTGTAATTATGAAAACGTGAACCCAACTTGGTTAGGCTGTGCCGATATATGCACCCAAATCTGAGCACACGCGCCTACAACGTTTCCGCCTCCATCAGAAATGCATCCTCCGCAGCCGGGATTCAATCCCACGACCTGCGGGTGAGCAGGCGAGTACTTTAGCCACTAGACCACCGCGGCGGGGCAGGCTGAACTGTGCGGTCAATGGTTTGTGGTCGGTTACCAGATCGAAGTGAGTCCCATACAGGTAGTCTTTGAATCTAGTTACGCCAAATGCGAGGGCGAGGACCTCTTTTTCTAATTGGAAATAGTTTTTCTCGGCTTTTATGAGTGTTCTTTACCTGGATCCGATAGGGTAGTCAATTCCTCCGAGTCGATCCGAAAACACTGCGCCCAGACCTATTGCTGACGCGTCGCACTCTGGGCGAATGGGCTTGCTTAGGTGAAAATGCGCCAAAAATTATGCAATCTTCACTCTCTGTTTGGCTGATTCGAAAGCGTTTTACCGTTGTCTGCCCCAGGCACATTTACGCGCTTTGGCAACAATACATATAAAGGCGCTAGTAAAGTCGACACATTTGCAATAACTTGCCGTAGTAATTTAACAGACCTAAAACTGCTTTTAGTCCTGTTACCGAAGTTGACTAGGGGCGTCAAACAGTGCCGTGATGTTGTCATTCTTGGGGCGTAAGCCGTATCTGATAATGCAATGTCCGAGAAGGGTGACTTGCTCTTGCCTTAACTTGCATTTCCCCCGTCGTAAGCGCAGGCCATGTTCCCTCAGGCGCTGTAGCACTAGCTTCAAGATCCCGCAGTGGTTTGCCTTTTCCGATACAATTAAGCCGTACAGATATACCTGCAAGCCGAGAATCTTGCTGAGCACGGCCTCCATGCGCCGCTAGAAAATTGCCGGCGCTGATGACACTCCGAACAGCAGCCTGTTGAAACAGTGCAGGTCTTTGTGAGTGTTCGAAACGACTAACCGTTTCGAGTCCTCGTTAAGGGGCAACTGATTACAGGCGTTCCGCAAGTCCAATGTGTTGAAAACCTCTGCGCCGTTGAAATTCGCAAAGATATCATCAACTCGCGGCCGTGGATATTGCTCCATAACGATAGTTGCGTTCACCGTAAGACGGAAGTCACGGCATAATCGCACCTGTCTATCTTTCATGACTGAGGGCACAACAGGTGTGGCCCATTCGGCTGTTTACGCTGGTAATAACACCCCTTCGTTTACCAGGTGATCTAACTCTGCCGACACCGTTTGTTTGAGCGCATACGGCACCGTCCGAGCCTTGCAAAACCGGGATCTTGCACCTTCTTTGACGCTCAGATGTACTGGTGGGCGTCGGAGTAAAACTAAATGCGGAGCCTATACATCACTGTACTTTACTAGCATAGTTTCAAGCATTTTGTCCACATTTTTCGCTTGAACACACGCCACATCATTTCCAGTGAGTACCGTCATTGACGCTACGGGTATACAGTGTCACGGCCGCAAGGTATTGGTCCCGGACAGTTGATGACGACGGTTCAATGTCGACTGTCCACCCTCTTCCCGATTGTTACGTCGCGAGTGAACGACTCTGTAACCAAGCAAGAACAAGGCGTTTCATTTTGCGTATTTCACTTTTTGTGCCTCGGCGATGACGTCGTGGAAGGCATGTAGAACGCTTGCATGACGTAGCATAAACCTCCTTTTTCATCACCTAGCTAGAGTCGTAATTTGAAAATGCCGCAGAACATCTAACAACTAAAACATTGATATGTGCTCACCTTCTCGTAAAATATATCGTTCGAAGTGGTGTATTTCCTCAAAAGCTTCTTGCAGTAATGCTTCTTGCTTACTTTCTGGCCCGGAAATTTCTTATAATGGTACATGTAGGTTGATTGCGACACTATTCCCACGCATCTGCGAGGCATGAATCTGCGAGAACGGAATCACTCATCAAAGCACGCTGATCCACTTGCAATGGCAATCGTGAAATCTTTGGGTCTTTGAAGTGTTCATCAGGCCACTGCTCGAAATAATATTTAAAGGGTAAAAGAAATGCATAGGAAATGTCTTACTTTAGGTTGTCTCGAATCCTTCTTTCACTGCACCGAGAAAGCTGATATTTTTTCACTCCTCCGTCTACATAGCTCATAAGATATCCTTCGGACCAGGGACATTGTTCGGTTTCATCGTGAGGTGATCCCATTCTTTAGGGTGTAATAAATAGTCATATTTTGTTAAGCAGCCTTTGTTTTTTAAACACCTCAAACACGCTTACTTACACATGCCCCAGTTCGTGAGCCATTATAAAAACGCCTTTGTATGACGAGGCAATATCTTCGCTTAAGGAAACGGCCCTCTTCGTACAGGGAGGGCCTCCAAAGGCAAGTCCTGATTGAAAGGTAAAAAAGTAAATTTTCACGTTAGGCTCTCCTATTCAGATAAAACGAGCCAGCTTTTATTTCGCATGTTTATCGGTAGCATATCGATGAACGATTCTCCGCAGGTTTTGATTGAATAGTAACAAATTCAATATGCACTATGGTCTAAATACCATATTTTTAATATATAGCAAAAACGCTTCAATACTTGGTAATTTGTGCAGTGAATTATTTATGGTCTTTTCAGAAAGTACAATTAGTAACCTCAGCTATGTGTCTACACGCACTAAAATATATGTATGACGCTTTACACCACCAAACAGATGTCTAACCAAGGAGATTTAAAATTTTGAAGAGCTACTTCAGGTGATCTGGAAGAACATAGCAGTTGGCTTCCTCTGCTATATTAAAGCTATCTGTTGCTTGTTTTCTTAGTTCTAGTGACACCATGCCAATTTTTACCAAGTAGTAACTGTATTCAACCATGATCTAGATGTGTACACGCAGTATTAAGTTCATGGTATAATGAAAGTGACTTTTACCAAAAATACTGGCGAAATACTGGTTTGAGGCTAGCAATTTATCCTCGTGCTAGAATTTATTCTTACCCTTTGACCAAGTGTGAGTTAATTTCAGTAAGTATAATAAATTGTTGTATTTTAACGATTATTTAACAGATAGTTATCTACATTAACAACAAAATTAACATTTATAATATGTTCTACAAAGCAAAGCTCACTAATTCTGTAAGTCAATTCTCGCGCATGCGTTTAAGCCAAAGTGTATTACTCAAATATTAGAGCCGTGTTATATTTACAAAATTTACAAAACACAAGCCATCTCACCGGTATAATCTCTATCCAGGGCACCATTTTCAAAGCGGGCCATGTCTTGGCTGCATAAGAAAAAACCTAAGCATTACCAGGAATGTTGATTGATATTTTTTTCACATTAGGGAGAATATTATTGACACCCAAATCTTGTGTAATTGGTAATCTCACCTCCACCTCCCTCATTGGCATACGAAATAGCTGGTAAATATAATATCTGAACACAATATCTGTTTGTCATCGCCGCCATTGGGATGAACTCGGCATTTATTTTTCACGACCTGGTGCTTTTAAAATCAAATTAAACATAAGTGCAGCCACCGTGACTAGGACTCGATCCTCTTTATAATTAGCATCACGAAAAAGCGAATCATTCAGAGGGATAATGAACTCGAACAATCGGCTATCTTACCCTGTAACGAGGTGCACTACGTCAGGTTTCCCAGGTATATTGCCTTTTACGTAATAGTCATACAAGCCATCCAATGATTTATCCATGTCAAGAATACCGGGCTTAAGATGTTTGGCATAAGCGTCGTTCTGCGAATAAGTCTGATTAGATAGTAGCTCACACACTCATAACAATTTAAAAGCATTTTTTTTCTTACATAAAGACAGTTACAATTACAAGACATAGATACATATTGTCATACATACACTTGTGAAAACTGATAGTGTAAAAGATAAATATCTTGTAGCTGTGAAGAGTCTATGGTGCAAACGATTTGCACAAGCCTACTTTATTCGAGGCTTTTGTGTCTTCAGTGCGAGGCAAAGCTCTGCTATCATATTGATTCAACTGTCAGTAGTTGATGCTGTAATAATTCACTGCATGACACATAAGGGAAAGGTGACTGAAATGACACACGTTATCCATTAGCTCCGTGCTTTACACAACTTCAATATTAGGATCTAACTTGGAGATCGGCGCCCTCGAAATTTCGTTAAAGATAATAACGTCTCGTAAAACCTAAGCGTGGAGTCTCTTTTCATCTGTTTCTTTTCCACCGTTCATCAGCCAATCGCGATCCTCCACCGCCCAAATTAAGAAAATGAGATGGTTCATCAGGCAATTAACTTTACGCGGTTTATGAATTATGTTTGCGCGAAGCCGCGATTTTCAGCAGATACGCGATTGCTGATGTACATGATACATGTTTTCCAGGAGATCACTTTCATTTAGTCAACAGAAATTGTAACAACGAAGCCCCATCAATCAGCCAACTATTATCCCTTTTTAAATAAATATATGAAAGTGTTTTATACCGGTCTCTAACAAGACTTCACAGGTGTTTTTTTTTTGCTTAGCAGAAGGGTATCAGCAAAGAAAATATGAGGAAAAAGTTGAACTATTCCCCGAGTGAAATCAAAGTTTTTTCCGTGTTGTAGAAACCAACTCTCATCACTCGGCGCCCGAGACGCACCACCTGAGGTGGTATAACAAAGGAAGAGACGAAAAATGCTGCCGCTATTAAAACATTAGTTATTTACCTATTGGTCGCTTGAAGATGAAGCAGAAACGCAATAGAAGTTCTGTTAGGATGGGAAAAACTTGCATTTACAGACTGTTCAAAAGTTACATAAGTACGGACATCAAAGAGAGAGAAAAAGAAAACACCTTGGAAACGAACCGACTTCTACAGGGCGACCCCACGGAATTCGGCAGAGCCGATGGTGCCTAGCATCGCAAGCCCAGTTCAGAACACTTGTTGCTCCGCCTTTACACAACTTTCGGCGAATCGTCGCCTACTTGTCCGCTAATAAGACAGTACACTTGGTAGATTAAAAACCCGCCCTGAGGACGCAACCTTTGTGCATGTGCGAGAACTCATACCCTCGCCCCAAATAACACAACAACCAATATGTAAATAAAAAAGAACTAGAAAAAGTGATAGATGCTTGGGCAAGCTACGCGGCACACAATTATCTAGATTTAAAGCTACACATACTGGGCTTTCGTGGCCATAAAACGGCTTCCTTGTAACACGTCATCTGCTTGACGACGGGGCGAAAATCGGCCCGTCTCCTGCCCGCTGTAAGAGGAACCACTCGCTGACCACCCGTGGCTCCATTTACGAGCCAATTTGCAGGAATTAAGTGGGAGCAGTTCAAAACATGTCAATGCAACAACGCGCACCGAATGAATTGTCGGGCGCCCGATATCGCGACACCAGCCACGCTCTCACGTGTCGCCAGTCCACCCGCTTCCGACAGCTACCGGAGCTAAGCCGGACTGAGACAAAGGGTTGTCGGTGATCTCCGTGTTTTCGCAACGTGCGCTGCCTCGAAACGGCGTGCGTGAACACTGCATGCGGCTGGGCTTCAGCTGAACCGAAGTGAGCAGTCACCGTGCTGCTCTGGCTCGCGGAAGAGGCCCCGCCGACTGCCAGTGCGGTGAGGAAATGAGGGCGTCATCACAATGCCGTTTCTAATCCATGTTTCTCACGTGGGGGTCAGTTTTTTTTATTCAATTATATGGACACTCTCGCATGGATTTCGCTGCTGCCGTCGGCGTCGACGTAGGCGTTGACGTCATGCACCGCATATGTATACGTATCTATATTTATGAAAACGCAAGAAAGGGAAAAAAACCAGAAAACAAAGCACTCCAGCGCGCGGAATCGAAGGTGAGACCTTTGCCTCGTGAAAGTGAGGCATTAACCACGGAGCCGACCCCGAAAAACGTTCTTTACCGTACAAACGGCAAGCTATTTGTTTTTCGCTGCTGTGTTTTCGGTATTACCAGAAAAATGGCGCAATGAGCACACGTCACCACATCGCGACGCAGAGACTGCTCTAATCACTTGCGCGTACTTCGTCAGGATTAGAAAAGGGGAGCGGTGCGCCCTTATCTCGCGGTGGTAAAGAGGAGAGGACCATACGCCTTGACTGGCCTCGGTATTTACGTAGAATGGTTCTGCTGTAGTTTCCGGGCACACAAAGGTTACTGCAACCATTGCAGTCTCCGTTCGTGAAAAGCCCGCGCTTTTTAGACTCGCCGAAGTAACCAATGAGACGCTTCTTCACGTGCATCCGTACCTGTAAGTACGTTTTGTGCGTAATTTGTGGGCGAGAAACGCGGGACACGTTTAGATCTGCTTTTCCTTCTGTGCGTGACCTTTCAAATTGTTGCTATCGTGCTCATTGCTTCGCCTTTGCGGCAAAGCTATGACTTTTGCCTGAGTTAACAGGAACTCGAAATGCTCGGCTTTCTCTGGCACGGAAGAACTACGCGGGGTACCATGCTGGCACCATACTGTCTGTGCGTTCACGGCAAATCTGGTCGGGCACGCTTAGACTAAGTGCCACTAACACAATGCAGTCTGCCAACGGCTGACATGCATCCTCAAGCTTTTGCTTACGACACAAAGCAAATGAAAGTAAACTAACTTCCACGCAAGCAATTCTAACCGCGGTCCTACACCATCATCAAACATTTAGTAACAACTTGTTTACAGTGTTGCGGAAGTAAACACTACAAAAAGCGGAACGCGCTCAACCAGTGGGTGTAAGATGGGTTAACAGCCGTAGGTACACTGACCGACAAGAGTTTTCTCCCCACTACGCAGTGGTCGCGCTGTACCTGCGCGGTGGCAGCATGCGAAAATTATATCCTGCAAGGGAAGCGCACACAGTGCGCCACTTCTTTTTTTTTGCGATGTTGAAAAAAGGAAAGCACGAAACAAACTAGCCACCAGCGCCAGCTAACATGATAAATTTATTTATTGAGCTGCCCCGATCTGTAAAGATAGCAAACCCTAGCCAACCATTAGGCAGCTCTCACGCGATATCTAGCAGACCTGACTAAACATATCAAAACGGATCACTCAGCATGCCTGCTCACCAAACGCTTACAATGCATGCGACATCTGACATCAATGTAGATATAAGCATGCTACACCTAATGTCGCAGGTAATTCCTTGAAGAAAATGCAAGCGTTTTCTGGGATATGCCACGCATTCCGAAAGATGTCAAAAAACAATGGGGTACTGATGTGCCATTCGACATAACAAAAAACACCAAAAACATCGGCCCGTAAAAGTAGTAGAAGTTATAGTAGCAGAAAACTTTATTATGTACACAATCCAGACAGGCTAGAACTCCAGTGCCCCGAGGAATATACAAGGTGAAGAGCGACGTCTGTCCGGCAGGGTGGTGCCCCTATTACAGAGCCCCACTGGCACGAGCCATCCGTTCAGCTCTGTGGGTCAGTCGCAGCTGATCCACTAGGGCGGGCTATACAGCAGCGCCTCCAATTCCTTCCACGCGCCATTGGAGTTGTCTTTTTCGTCGTGTTCTGCACACTCCCACGTGTTGTGAAAGAGTGTTGGGGTGGCTCCCCACCATGGGCATTTATCTCTGTACGCCGTGGGGTAGATGAGGTGAAGAGTGTGCAGATTTATGTAAGTGTTAGACTGTATTCTTCTTATCACTGTTGCCTCCGCAGCACTGAGCTTGCCATGAGGACGTAAACAGAGCTGCCTATTTTCTCTGTAGTACTTTAGAATCGTTGGAAAACAAGGGACCAGGGGTGTAGGGTCATCTATTGCATTGTCTTGAGTGGCTCGGTGATTTGTAAAGCCTCGAGCCACCTCGTCCACGTGGTGGTTCCCTGTCACGCCCTCATGCCCCGGTGCCCATGTCACAGTCTGTACGTATTTTACTGTGGGGTCCCATCCTGTCCCAATCAATATACGGAGCGCCTGTGCTCCAATTTTGTCCTTTAGATGCACGTAAAAGCAAACGATGACATTTCGCACTTCACGCGACTACACTTGACAAGTGTCACACACTGCTGTCCAATGTTCCATAGTTTGATCATCATTCGTGAGTGTTCTTGCTCTCTTTTTACAATATATTCAGCAAAGACAGTCACGTAGCACAGAACACTTGATTTTTCATAAGTGTCCGACATTGTCTTAGTCACAGCACGCATTGCACAAAGCACATTCACAAGGTGACCGCATCGGCACTCCTTTTTCCCACTCAGGTCACGCTCGAGCCTCAAGATGGCCAACTGCTCGCTAACGCTGTAAGTATGGAATGGCGTGATGTCTGACTACAGCTATTCTGCCACCATATACTGTTCGCAAATTTTGCCTCCATGGCACATGTAATAGGCTGACCACATTGCATGCCGTTCTTTTCATTCTTTGTTTTAGCTTTCGTTTCTCAGACTGCCGCCTGTATCGGGGCGCGTCAATTTAGGCGGCCTTGTTCCCTTAAAGGCAAGGCATTTGTCGTTGTTGACCCTGCATATATTGCTATGTTATGCTGTTCAAATTTGTCGTTCACAACATCGTATTGCTGAAAATCAGAACCGCAATGTTGGTGATGCTACAGTAGTTTTCACCTGCACGATGATCGGTGAAATTTTGTTGTGGGCACGACACTTAGCATTCCCAATTCCCACGGTACGGCAGTGTTGCGAATGCGACGTTCTTACCCAAGTGCAGGCCACACGTAGGCGAATATGAACGTGAAAATGATGAACGGTGCTAGTGACCTGCGAATTATTGGGCACCAAGGTTCGGTCACC